CTTCTTTGATAATAAAAATAACTTAAAGCAGAGGGCAAGCCAGGCCACCACCATTGCTTTTCCCATGCACTTGCGGTTTTAGCGCTGCATAGCACACGACAACGACAGCTCAGCAGTGCACTTGCCTTTGCTGAAGAGTTTAAAAGAAGAAGAAGAAGAGGTGTTTTCACCGCACAGCTGAGGTGCGCTGCTAGCACTTGGCTCACACAGAGAGAGAGTCACTGACAACAGGATTTAGGCAAGAGACCCAAAAGACCCAGGGCATAGATTCCAAGGAAGCTGCCATGTTGTTTGTTTGGTTGGTTGGTTGCATTTATATATCACCTTGCTGTGGGTTAAACCACAGAGCCTGGGGCTTGCTGAGCAGAAGGTTGGCGGTTCAAATCCCCGCGACGGAGTGAGCTCCTGTTGCTCGGTCCCAGCTCCTGCCCACCTAGCAGTTCGAAAGCACATCAAGGTGCAAGTAGATAAATAGGTACCACTCCGGTGGGAAGGTAAACAGCGTTTCCGTGTGCCGCTCTGGTTCGCCAGAAGAGGCTTAGTCATGCTGGCCACATGACCCGGAAGCTGTACGCCGGCTCCCTTGGCCAGTAAAGCGAGATGAGCGCCGCAACCCCAGAGTCGGCTACGACTGGACCTAATGGTCAGGCGTACCTTTACCTTTACCTTTATCTTCCAAGGTGGTCATTCTCCTCCCCCCCATCTCATCCTCACAACAACCTTGTGAGGTAGGACAGGCTGAGAGATGGTAACTGGACCAAGGTCACCCAGTGAGCTTCATTGCTGAGTGGGGATTTGAACCCTGCATCACACTCAATATTGTCTACACTGACCGGCAGTGGAAATTCAGGATTTCTGGCAGGAGTCCTACCTGGAGGCATCATCAGTGATTGAATCTGGGGCCTTTTGCTTGCAAGACTCATTGTCTACCACTAAGCCATGGCGCCCAGCCCTCCTTTAATAACACCCTTGCACCAAGTCCTTGCTCATGCACACCTCTCCTTTTCGTAGCCAGACAAGTTTAGTGTCAACTGAATAATTCAAGAGCTGCTGTTTGCCAGGAGCTCCTTGGCTGTCCAGAAAGGAGAGCCAGAATGGAAATTCTAGCTGGGATTGCCCCGCGGAGAGGGAATGAGGACTCTGTTGGCCACAACACCCCATTGGGTTGAGTGACCTTGGGTCAAGCTTTAAAAAGCCTCTCTTGTATAGCTATGAGAGGACAGACTGGAGAGGAATGGAATACGGTGGGACCTCGGGTTAAGAACTTAATTCATTCCAGAGGTCCGTTCTTAACATGAAACTGTTCTTAACCTGAAGCACCATGGGGCCTCCCGCTGCCGCCGTGCTGCCGCCACCGCCACACGATTTCTGTTCTCATCCTGAAGCAAAGTTCTTAACCCAAGGTACTATTTCTGGATTAGTGGTGTCTGTAACCTGAAGCGTCTGTAACCCGAGGTACCACCGTACAGTGGATGCTCGGGTTGCGAACGTGATCCATGTGGGGTGTACGTGCGCAACCCACAGCGTTCGCAACCTGTATCTGCGCACGCGCGGGTTGCGATTAAGCGCTTCCGCGCATGTGCAGAGCGTGATTTAGCGCTTCCGCGCATGCGCAACCGCCAAAACCCGGATGTAACCCGTTCCGATACTTCCAGGTTTTGATGGTCCGTAACCCGAAAAAACACAACCTGAAGCGTCTGTAACCCGAGGTATGACTGTAAAGTCCTTCTTAAACTATGGAACTCTATTGTTAGACTATGGAACTCCCTTCTGGGTGGCTTTAAAAGAGGATTAGATAAATTCATGGAGGAGGAGAGGACTACTGATGTCTACTAGCCAGGATGCCTATGCTCTACCACCACAGTTGGAGGCAGGAGTGCCAACCTGGCCCTGCGACTGTGGGTACCCGGGGCCATGGGTGCCATGCAGTGTGCACGGCCCTGGGACCAAATATTTGTGGGTGCCTGGCCCCTTCATGGGGAATGTTGTGGGTGCTTTGGCCCCAGGGAGTTGGCACCTATGGTTGGAGACAGTGATGCTTCTGAATGCCAGCTGATGGAAACCACAAGAGGGGAGAGTTGCTCTTGCGCTCGGATCCTGCTCGGATCCTCCTTTCCCAAAGGCAGCTGGACAGAATGCTGGACTCAATGAGCAATTGGCCTCATCCAGCAGACCCTTCTTATGTTCTTAGTTCATGTACAGCCTTGGTGTTTTATGGCAAGAATTGGGGAGTCAGGGGTCCTGCTAAACTGGTGAAGCAACATGGAGCAGTCAGCTCTCTCCGGCAGAAAAACTGTTAAGAGGATGAGGCTATCAGGAAGGAAAAAAAAACTTGAATCCATTCCAAACATGCCCTGGAACAAAATCTCCCCCAGTGCTCTCATTTGGAAATGTACCTTAGCTCAATCAAAACATGGTTTAATATTCACAGGACGAAAATAGTTCCTTGCTGGAGCGTAAATAGAAAGTTCAACCTGTTTGAAAATGCCCCCCCTCCCCCTTCATATGTGCTGCAATCCACGCTTCGCTGAAGTCAAGAGCAAAACCCACACTGATTTTTAATTACAGTTTTCTGACGGCTTTTGTTTGTCTGTCCGTCCTCCCCCCGTCCTGCAGTCTGAAATGTTCCATTGTGTGTCCATCATGGCAATTTAGAAAATCTGCCCACCCCACACACTTCTCCACCCCAGTCCTTCCTCTTTTCTCTTATGCTGGCATAGAATTCCGATTAATTTATTGGAGAGAGAGAGAGAGAGAGAGAGAGAGAGAGAGAGAGAAAGAGAGAGTCTTCTAGTGGCACCTTAAAAACTTTCAAAGTTATTATGGGATGTGCTTTTGTGGATTACAGCCTGCTTCATCAAAAGTGTTCAGTGCTGTCCTGCAGTACAAATATCTGTCTCTGAGTGGGGCAGAGGATGATAAACCATGAGGTCGGGGGGGGGGGGTGCCAAAAAGTACAGACAATTACAGCATCCCTGAAATCATACATATAAGTACTTGCAAGCCGGGATAGAATTTAATGCATCTGGTGAAGTGGACTGTAGTCCCTGAAGTCTTATGCCATTATCATAGAATCGTAGAGTTGGAAGGGATCAACAAGGGCTGTCTGATCCAACCCCCTGCAATGCAGGAATCTCAACTAGATCATACATGACAGTTGGCCATCTAACCTCTGCTTAAGAATCACAACCTCCCAAGATAGTCCTTTCCACTGTTAAACAGCTCTTACTCTGAGAAATTTCTTCCTGGTGTTTAGTTAGAATCTCCTTTCTTGTCACTTGAATCTGTTGATTTGGGTCCTACCCTGCAGAGCAGGAGAGAACAAGCTTTCTCCATCCTCCACATGATGATCCTTTTGATAGCTGAAGATGGCTATCATATCTCCTCTCAGTCTCCTCTTTTTCTAGGCTAAACATACTGAATTCCTCAAGCAATCCTCCTCATAAAGCTTGGTTTTCCAGACCCTTGATCATCTTAGTTGCCCTCCTCTGCCCATGTTCCAGCTTGTCAACATCCTTTCTAATATGTGATGCCCACTTCTGTGGGTGCAGCCTAGAATAGCATTAGCTTTTTTTGCCGCTGCACCATAGTGCTCCCCCAAAGACCTTAGAGCTCAGGCAGATTTGTATGAGAGGTTTGGGATAATACGGTCCTTCGGATCCCTCTCCCTGCACTGCACTGGGCTCCAGGATCAGGTATAAATCTCACTTCTCTTTTTCTTTTTGTGGGAGAATGCCATTTAGAATGTTGTTGTTGTTTAGTTGTTTAGTCGTGTCCGACTCTTCGTGACCCCCTGGACCAGAGCACACCAGGCCCTCCTGTCTTCCACTTTCTCCCGCAGTTGGGTCAAACTCATGCTGGTAGCTTCAAGAACACTGTCCCACCATCTCGTCCTCTGTCGTCCCCTTCTCCTTGTGCCCTCCATCTTTCCCAACATCAGGGTCTTTTCCAGGGAGTCTTCTCTTCTCATGAGGTGGCCAAAGGATTGGGAGCCTCAGCTTCAGGATCTGTCCTTCCAGTGAGCACTCAGGGCTGATTTCCTTCAGAATGGACAGGTTTGATCTTCTTGCTCCAGCACCATAATTCAAAAGCATCCATTCTTCGGCCATCAGCCTTCTTTATGGTCCAGCTATCACTTCCATTAGAATAGCCTGGGCCTAACCCGTACATACGTGAAATGGTCTTCGCCCCATCAGCTGTCACGGCACCCCAAACAGTGACTTGCGACATGCAGATGGAGCAATATGTCGCTTGCAGAGAGCGTGTTGCTGAACTGGCCTGGAATCTTTAGCACTGTGATGACGACGACAGAATATTTGCACTTGACTCTGTGGAACCTTTTCGGGTTCGGTGAACCTTTTAGAAAGATGGGGTGCAGGGAAAGCGTGGCAGCAGAGGTGCGGTGGAAGCAGGGACGAGTGTGTCAGTATTTGCAATAAACACCTAAAAGAAAAGCCTTTTTTGGGTAGCAGCAGAACTACGTCTCCCCCAAACACCTACACGAAGTGCAGATTGACGGGCAGATGGTCGACACAGTCGTCGGCAGCAGGAGCCAAGGATCCTGTCGTCATCCGGCCCTGCGAGGAGTACAGTGCTACAGCTCCATGTGGCTCTGGGAGACCAGCTGTTCCTGCCTCCTTCTCTGGCACATTTGATCAGTGCAATGAGCTGTCTATAAAATCTCCCCCCATCACAGCACCCATTTGATGGGCGTTTCACTAGAAGTCGGGTGAAGGTTGGTTCTGGAGCTGGCAGACCTAGAGGGAGACAGACAAACGTTCTACGGACGTCCTTCCTTCTCCACGCAAACTAATTTTCCGCCTACAGCTGGCCTGAGGGAGGATCTACCTGCAACAGGTATGAGTGCCCCCTGGAGGACAGGAGACAACAGTGCAAAGGAAGTGCAGGATGACCAACAGACACAAGCCTGCTCTGTTGGTAACAAGTTATCGGAGCTGCCTCTTTTCCCACCACCTGGCATGGCTCTTGGGCTTTTAAAGATGGCGGACTCTCCTTCACTGGAGGTTTGTAAACAGAGGTCGGATGGTCACCTGGGAGGGAACCTTTAGTCACGATTCCTGCATCGCAGGGGGTTGGGCTAGATGACCTTTGGGGACATTTTCCAACTATGATTTTATGATTCTAAAAGTGAAAGGGATGGTGAAAAAAACACTCCTGCTTGTTGATTTTCTTAAGGAGAAACGGAAACTGTCTCCCTGGCTTTCTGCCACCCCCTTGTCGCCCCTGTTGAAGCATCCTTTACCTAGGTTGTGCTGCGGCAGTGGGAAGTGGTGGCAGTTTGGGGTGAGATCTTGCGAGATTTGGGGGTGAGCTCATGAGATCTCACTGGAAATCATAGGAGCAAACTCCTAGGAGCCAAAGTTCCTTCATGCCCCTCCCCAAAACCCACAAGGTTTACTCACATCAAAAGTCTTGCTAGGATACATATACATATACAGTGATGAAAATCAGGCAGCCAATAATCCTAAAACATTACAAATATCCATAGTCCAGTTCAAAATGGCACTTGCTCTCTGGAGGAGAACAAAGATACTGTCTTCACCCATCGCAAATAGGAAAAAGTGTGTGAGTTGCAGGTAGGAATTAACCCATTGTACAGTGGAACCTCTGGTTAAGTACTTAATTCGTTCCAGAGGTCCGTACTTAACCTGAAACTGTTCTTAACCTGAAGCACCACTTTAGCTAATGGGGCCTCCTGCTGCTGCCACGCCGCCGGAGCACGATTTCTGTTCTCATCCTCAAGCAAAGTTCTTAACCTGAAGCACTATTTCTGGGTTAGCGGAGTCTGTAACCTGAAGCGTATGTAACCTGAAGCGTATGTAACCCGAGGTATCACTCTATTTCCCCCCACCACCAGGTTTGGAATTATGATGTCATAGAGTCCCCTCCACGCGGGTTCTGAGACAGCAGGCTACCTTTGTCCCGGTTTCCAATTGTCTAGCAATCGTGCCTTTGTGATTTTGTCTGCAAATCCTCCCACAGGGAGTTCGAGTCGGTGTCAGCAGTACGGAGCTAGACAAATCAGTGTCCTGTCTCATCATAAGGCACCTCTGTTGGTGCTGCTTCTTGTGGGAATGTTCAGGGATGCAGGAGAGGATATACTGATTATAGCCTTTCCAACTTGTGTTAACAAGTTCACAATTTAGCAGAGTAACATTCCCCTTTTTAAACTCACAGCGGATGCGTTTCTCAGGCTCGCTAAAGCCTCTATAATAAATGTTCTGGTATTTCCCCCTTTTTCCCTCATAAAAGATAAGACACGACACAGTCTTCTATAAAAGTATAAAAAGGTTTACTCACACATCATTCTGTTCACAATCGGATCCCAGAAGGCAGACTTAGCTTAGAAAAGTAACATACACCTGGAAACTATCTCATAAGGAGACAGAGAGCATCTTTGGCTAAGCAGATGTTGCTTCTTTGATGCATGTAGTCAAAGAGAGAGAGATGGCTGCCCTGCCCTGTGCTTTTGTCGTTACCTGCACAGGTGAGGCCATGCCCACCTCTAGTCACATGCAGAGGAAGTCTGTCCCAGCCCAGAAGGAAACAGGAAGTTTTCCTGCTGGCTGGACAAACATTCCTCCCCATGTGTAAACATGTTCACTCTAGGAATGTTGTACTTGACTGCTCTTGTGTTTCACATCCCACACTTCTCTCTCCCCCCAGAGCCCACCCAATCATCCAACTCAACCAGGATGCAGCTTCAGTACCTGAGAAGGCATCGACTCACATTAACCCTTTGTTCCCTGGGCACTTCCCATTCCTCTTCTCTTCCTAGTAAACTCCTAGGGCAGGGACCTGGTCTACTCGCTGATGAGATTCACATAGTGGTGCTGTGTGAACAACTGTGCAATAATTATCCCCAGTATAAATTGTTGCTATCTTGTGAGGGCTTTGTGTGACCGTGGAATGGCAGGATGTGCATTTACTCATTTATTTGAACCAAGCTGAGCAGAAGCATAATCCCAACCACTTAGAAGCGAAGCTAGAGGTTCTCAGACAGCCTGGTAGAGCACAAGTGAGGAATTATTATTATTATTATTATTATTATTAATTTATTATTTATACCCCGCCCATCTGGCTGAGCCTCCCCAGCCACTCTGGGCGGCTTCCAATCGAGTGTTAAAAACAATACAGCATTAAATATTAAAAACCTCCCTAAACAGGGCTGCCTTCAGATGTCTTTTAAAGATAAGATAGCTGCTTATTTCCTTCACATCTGAAGGGAGGGCGTTCCACAGGGTGGGTGCCACCACCGAGAAGGCCCTCTGCCTGGGTCCCTGTAACCTCACTTCTCGCAATTAGGGAACCGCCAGAAGGCCCTCGGCGCTGGATCTCAGTGTCCGGGCTGAACGATGGGGGTGGAGACGCTCCTTCAGATATACTGGGCCGAGGCTGTTTAGGGCTTTAAAGGTCAGCACCAACACTTTGAATTGTGCTCGGAAACGTACTGGGAGCCAATGCAGATCTCTCAGGACCGGTGTTATGTGGTCTCGGTGGCCACTCCCAGTCACCAGTCTGGCTGCCGCATTCTGGATTAATTGCAGTTTCCGGGTCAACTTCAAAGGTAGCCCCACGTAGAGCGCATTGCAGTAGTCCTGAGACCCTCCCGTCCTTGCTGGACTACAATGTCAATCATCCCTGACCATTGTCCCATGTTGACTGCAGGGGCTGATGGGAGCTGGAGTCCAATGACACCTGAGTGTTACAGGTCACCCACCTTTGCAGCAGACTTTCAAGAAGGATTCCAACTAGACTGATCAGAGCTTCTTGCTCAGATTGAGCAACCAAACAGTAGTGGTGGAGGAAACCTCTCTGGCGCCTGGGGCGGGGCACTGAGGGGCAGGGTGAACCCCCTAGCGGCGCATGTGCAACACCCATACAGATGGCGCATGCACAGTGCCCGAACGGATGATGCTCAAGCGGCAGCCTGTACAGACAATGCATGCGCAGCAGCCTGTATCGGCGCCGCACACCCTCGGTTGCTCTACAGCTGGGGGGGGGCAGTGGGCCATCTTGTCACCCCCCCAGGTGGCACCTGGGGTGGACCGCCCCCCGCCCCCCTTCATACGCCCCTGCCAAGCAGGAGCCAGCAGTTATACAAGGCCAAATGCAACCATATTGGCTTAGTGCGATTACCTGATCCTTGCTGGGATGGAAACCACACTACACTTTCCTTTTTTTTTTTTTATAAGATATTTATTAAGATTTTCAAAATATTACAAAATAAAAATAAAAAAAGAAGAAAATACAAAATAAATGGTTAAAAACAACTCATTCTTTCCATTACTTATTTTTCATTAGCTTGTTTCCTGGACCTCCTCACGCCTCCCTTTTTTGTATTCCAGTTCGGTTTGTTGGTTCAGCAAATCCTTACCCTCTTTGTTTATCCTAGTCTTTAATCTTAAAATATTGTATACACTACACTTTCCAGCCAGCCGCAGTGGTGGCGCTCTGTGGCCCTGGACATCAGGCCCTCTAGAGGTGCAAGGAATAAGACTCCTGATCCCATTGCAATAATTCGCAGCTTGGTCCCCTCCAGGCTTGCGGTTCTCCGGTCTTCACCTGCTGTCTTCCGCATGCCCCCTCTCTCTTCTGCGCAGGTACCTGCGGACCCTGTACCTGGGTCTCCAGAGCCGCTGGCAGTCGGAGCATCGCCGGCGGCACTTCTACTGGAGGATGATGTTTGAAAGCGCCGACATCAGCATGCTGAGGCTCCTGGAGACCTTCCTCAAGAGCGCCCCACAGCTGGTGCTGCAACTCAGCATCATGGTACAGCAGAACAGAATTGATCCATTGCAGGGTGAGTGGAGCCTGCGGAGAAGCCCCCTCAAAGCCCATCAAAGTCCTCACCCAACTGGTGGTGATTTAAGTTGATTGCACCTAAGTACAGGGATGCCTGTGCAGCTGATTTGGAGGCCTTTTACTACAAGCCCGCTTCTCCAAAAGATGGGTTGCTGATTTTTTTTGCGATAAGGAAATTGTTAAATGCGCTAGGAAAGTGTGGGATGACGTTGGCTTTGTTGCAACCTCATCTAACCTCCCTAAAAACAAATCATAACAAACGCCCCGTGGGCAACTTATCTGTTGCTCCCGTCAATAAATTCTCGACCAGATTATGGGACGAGGATTTGATTCAGTAACTGGGGAGCACAGCATCACTTTTTCCTTTCCCTAACTATCATAGGAGAGATGCAGGTGGCACTGTGGGTTAAACCACAGAGCCTAGGAATTGCCGATCAGAAGGTCAGCGGTTCGAATCCCCGCGACGGGGTGAGCTCCCGTTACTCGGTCCTAGCTCTTGCCAACCTAGCAGTTCAAAAGCACGTCAAAGTGCAAGTAGATAAATAGGTACCGCTCTGGCAGGAAGGTAAACGGCGTTTCCGTGCGCTGCTCTGGTTCGCCAGAAGCGGCTTCGTCATGCTGGCCACATGACCCGGAAGCTGTACGCCGGCTCCCTTGGCCTATAGAGCGAGATGAGTGCCACAACTCCAGAGTTGGCCATGATTGGACCTAATGGTCAGCGGTCCCTTTACCTTTTAACTATCATAGGAACTGAGCATGCTGAGGCTTATTTCTGAGCAAACATGGCTAGAATTCCCCTCTTCCCCAGAGCCCTTTGCACAAATCCAGCTATCATTTTTGGGCAGGTGATGCATGAATGTAACAATATTTGCACCTCAGATTGATATTAACAGTCAAGTCAATGCTGCGATTATTCCATTTCACCCCAAGTATTTCCATATTTTTTAAAAAGAAAGAGAGAGGTTAAAAAAGGTTATATTTTCCACACCTTCAAAATTTTCAGAAATGTTGTATCTCTTCCTGTCCCTCAATCCTTTACCCTGTAGTACTCACTTTCTTCACCTTGCTGCTGCTTCCTGGTGTACCCCTGCAATTTTACCTCTTTCTTTCCATTTTCAGGCTGTTGCCTTCTTTCTTTTCTCTCTCTGTCTTCCTCGCATCCTCTACTCATACTTCCTGTTTCCACAGTAAAAATGACTATGCTGGGCCAGAGCATATAATAATAGAAATGTAGGATTGGAAGGGGTCCCCCAAAGGCCATCTAGTCCAACCCCCTGCAATGCAGGAATCTCAGCTGGAGCATCCATGACAGAAGGCCATCCAACCTCTGCTTAAAAACCTCCAAGGAAGGAGAGTCCACTAATAATTATAATTATAATAATAAATTTTATTTATACCCCGCCCTCCCCAGCCAAGACCGGGCTCAGGGCGGCTAACACCAGGTAAAAAACAATTGATTAAAATACAACTTAAAAACAAGATTAAGTACAACATTAAAATGGAGCCTCATTTCAGTAGAAACTCAAATCAAAAACTTTTTGGGGATGAAAACGTCAAGTCTTCACCAAGGCCAACTGGTGACTGGTCCTACATGGGCCAGAAAAAAGCCAGGGAAGTCCCCAATTAGGAGTTCCATCACAGAAGGAGAAAGGAGAAAGGAAAGAGGGGGAAGGGATCAAGTTGATTCCAAGCCAAAAGCCAGGTGGAACAACTCTGTTTTACAGGCCCTGCGGAAATAAATCAGATCCCACAGGGCCCTGGTCTCATGAGACAGAGCGTTCCACCAGGCTGGGGCCAGTGTTGGAAAGGCCCTGCTCTGGTTGAGGCTAATCTGACTTCCTTAGGGCCCAGGACCTCTAGGGTGTTGCTGTTTATGGACCTTAAGGTCCTCCGCGGGGCATAGGGGGAGAGGCGGTCCCGTAAGTCTCCGAGGGAGACTGTACCACTGTAGAACAGCTCTTACACTCAGAAAGTTCTTCTTGATGTGTAATCAGAATCTCCTTCTTGTCAGTTGAATCCATTAGTTTGGGTTCTACCCCCTGGAGCCGTGGAAAAGAACTGTCTCCATCAGCAGTTACCAGTCTCTTTAGTTTCAGGAAATGGGAAGTCTGGTGCAGTGCAAATGCACCTCTAGTGGGGGTTTTTTTAAGAGGAAGCAAAACACAATGCTCTCTCCATGCTTCCGCAAATCTCTCCTGTGCTCCTCAGCTCCTCCACCCCTCACCCTAAGCAGGTCAAATGCTTCATAAGGAACAGATTCCTTCTCCCAGCAGTGGTCCATCACAGGCATCACTGGGAGAGGCAGGGGCATGATGCTGAAGGTGACAAAGAGGATCTCCTGGCAGCGTGTTTCCACTGCGCTGGCCTCCTGATATAGGGTGTCCCCCTCTTTTCTTTCCAAACTACTCCACCCTCCTACAGCTCGTCTCTCTCTGTGTGCCATATATTTCCTTGAGGTGGTCATGACCGGCATTACAGACGCGTCCACAAAGTTGTGACCCAATCCCCTCTTATCTATTGATTTCCCTGTATCCCATGTGTTCTCAAAGGAGCTCAGGGTGCACACACAATTCTCTCCCTACAACAACCCTGTGAGGCAGGTTAGGCTGGGGAGCAAGGACTGGCATCCAAGGTCAATCCCAGTGAGTTTCATGGCCAACAAGTGGGGATCTGAACCCCAGCCTCCCCCAAACCCTAGTCCAACGCTCTAACCACCACACCACAATTGGCTCCTGTTCTTGGGATTTCCTCAACCACAACTCCGTTCTTCCTGCCTGTGTGCCTTTCTCACATGCACACAGACTCAGGCTACTACCAGCATCCTCCTGCTCATCCTTCCATCGCTCCAGTCTTTCTCCACGACCTCTTTCTCCTGTCCTCCTCTTGGACACCAGCCTTCCTGCCTCCACCTCCCTCTCTCTCCCCCCCTGCGATCCCTCAGTAAGACCATTTCTCTTCCCCCTAATTCCCGGCTTTCCCTTTCTCTCTCTCTCTCTCCCACCTGGGCAGGTCTCTCGGCTTCCGCCTCGCTGGTGTCCCTGGCCTGGACGCTGGCTTCTTACCAAAAGGTGCTGCGGGACTCCAGGGAAGACAAGATGCCCATGTCCTACAAGGGGGCGGTGACGCAAATCCTCTGGCACCTCTTCACCATCGCCGCCCGGGCCATCGCCTTCGCCCTCTTCGCCTCGGTGTTCCACCTCTACTTTGGGATCTTCATCGTCACTCACTGGTGCATCATGACCTTCTGGATCATCCAAGGCGAGACGGATTTCTGCATGTCCAAGTGGGAGGAGATCATCTACAACATGGTGGTGGGCATCATCTACATCTTCTGCTGGTTCAACGTCAAGGAAGGCCGCAGCCGCTGCCGCATGTCCATCTACTACGTCATCATCCTGTCGGAGAACGCCGCCATGACGGGCCTGTGGTACTGGTTCAGGGACCAGAGTGGAGTCCCCGAGTCCAACGCCTTAATTGTCGTCTGCGTGGTCACCTCCAGTTTCGCCTTAGGGGTCTTCTTCATGTTCATCTACTACTGCCTCTTGCACCCCAACGGAACCATTTTCGGGCCGCGCGGCGGGGGCTGTGTGTGCGGCGAGGAGCCCACCGCGGTCCCTTGCAGGGCGGGGCCCCCGGCTGACGTCGTCACCAGCCCCCCGCGCTCCTTGCCGAGGACTACAGGGGCCGAGAGGGAGGGCGTGCCGGGGGACAGAGACAGCTGTGTGCCGGTCTTCCAGGTGAGGCCCAGTGTCCCCCCCACGCCCGTCGCCCGGGCCCCACGGACAGAGGGGCCCGTCATCCGCATCGACTTGCCCCGCAAGAAATACCCCGCCTGGGATGCCCACTTCATCGACAGGCGCCTCCGAAAGACCATCCTGGCCTTGGAGTACACCTCGCCCGCTACTCCTCGCTTGCAGTACCGCACGGTGGGGGTCTCTCAGGAGCTGCTGGAGTACGAGACCACGGTGTAAAGCGGAGTCCCCCCCTCCCGTGGGGGCCTGGAGCCACACCGCAGGGGCCCTTCCCGACCCCGAGGGCCACGCCTGGCTCCTCAGCAGCCAGAGCGAGCTGGCCTTGTGGTCCTCTCCCCGCCATCTTTAGGGCGAGGCGACGGAGGCCCAGACAGCAGCGTCTTGACCCCAATGTCTCGTCAGCAACTTTGATTTGGTCTTTCTTTCTGTCCCCCCAACTCACACACACACAGCACTGACGACTCCTGGTCCCCAACTCCTCCAGAGACAGGGGTGAGCTTGATTGAGGCCAATTGGTGCTATCTCTTCTCCCCAAGCTTGCTGCCCGGCCGTAAGGTTGCTTCTCACCCTCCCATCCCTCTCCCCATCCCTCAGGCAGGTGTGCTGTTTCTCCTCCTGCCTTGAATAGGGGGGGGATGCCACCCATCCCCTTGACGCGCCCCTGTGAAGGAGGCCCTGTGGTCTCTCCCAAAATACCTCACCTGTTCACCTGAGCCCAGGTAGCTAAGGCCTCTCGAGTCCGTGGATTATTTGCTGACCTCTGGTTGTTGGGCAATGGGGAGAATAGGCCGCCTAAGAGTGGCTGAGCAGTGATGATGGGATCAAAGTTAACCTGTGGGCAGGTGGCGGTGTTGATTCTGGGGACGCTAAGGGGTGCTGGAGAGTCAAAAGATGGTTTCTGGGAGGGAGATAGGAGTGGCTCATAGGGGCTGGGGATGGGCCTTTAGGGGCTGTGTGATACCTGCTGGCATCCGTGTGGGTTTGATGTGAGGGTCCGGGGCCACCTTCCCTTCCCTGGTGCCTTCCAGAAATTTTGGGCTACAACTCCCATCAGCCCCAGCATGATGGGAGTTGTAGTCCAAAACACCTTGATGGTACCAGAGAAGGCCGGTCTGGGGCACATTGGTAATATAAACAGACCCTTCTGTAAACAGACCATGGGGCTGAAACGAGAGCAGATTTAGCCCTCGAAAACATGACTGCCCGTCTCGTTCCTCGTCCATCTCCATTGGGTGTCCGTTTTCTCACGACACGCGTCCCCTCATTTAAATATATGTAATTTGACATTGACAAGGAGGGCTTCCAGGAATGAATGGGTCTTCTTCCAAGCCGTGCGGGCATAAAAGGCAGGGCACGCACCGTTAATACGCCAAGCCAAGGAGCCGGTCTCTAAGGACATGTTACCTACATTGCAGTCCTATCTTGATTTCTATACCTCTTTTTCGCTTCCCCCTCCCCAAAGATCCCTGGGGGTTGTAGTCGGGTCAAGGTCACCGACGGCGTTCTGCTAAAGAGAGCCCCAGCTTCCCCCTTATGGAACTACAGTTCCCAGGGTTCCTTGGGAGAGGGGGCGTGGCCATTGCACCACTTTAGTCTGTAGTGTAGATATATATGCCTTAAAGGAGGTGCTGTGAGTGTTCTAGCCAGGATCAAATGGGCTGTCGTCCCCCTTCCCTCCCACTCAGCCCACTGAGGAAAGGGCTTCTCACCTGAGTGGGTTGGTGGCAGCAGCCGCTGCTTTGTGGCTTCCCAGATGATGTATTTTTTCCCAACTGCCCCCCAAAAAGCTCCGTTCAGGCCGATCGCAGCAGTGTTGGCCCCGCGGGATGAGCGACCCAGAACAGAAGTGTATACATTAGGTGGGTATTCTTCTCCATAGCGCTATCAGTATACATTGGTGCTTCTTTTTCTTTTCTTTTTTTGGAATGACATGTAGAAAAGAAGAAGCATCTATCTGTCATGGATGCTTTAGCTGGGACTCCTGCACTGCAAGGGGTTGGACTAGATGGACCACGGGGTCCCTTCCATTTCGTGATTCCAAGGGAAAGCTAGCAGCCACATGGTTACAGAATAATGTGTGCAAGACTTGATCAGGCTGGATGGTAAGCAGATAATGACACAAAGAGTCCCACTGGCCTGTCAAGTCCAGCATCCTGTTTTCAAAGCAGCCAACTAGATGGGAAACTGGCAATCAGGATTTGAACCCAAGACCCCTCTCCCTTCCTGTGGTTTCCAGCAGCTGGTATGCCGAAGCAATGCCGTCTCCAACTGTGGAGTCAGAGCAGAGCCATCATGGCTAAATAATAATAATAATAATAATAATAATTTGTTGGGCGGCCTCCAACAAAGACCAAAAATACACTAAAATGTCACACATTAAAAACTTCCCTGAACAGGGCTGCCTTCAGATGTCTTCTGAATGTCAGGTAGTTGTTTATCTCTTTGACATCTGGCTGGAGGGTGTTCCACAGGGTGGGTGCCACTACCGAGAAGGCCCTCTGCCAGGTTCCCTGTAGCTTTGCTTCTTGCAGGGAGGGAACCGCCAGAAGGCCCTTGGCGCTGGACCTCAGTGTCCAGGCAGAACGATGGGGATGGAGACGCTCCTTCAGGTATACTGGGCCGAGGCCGTTTAGGGCTTTCAAGGTCAGCACCAACACTTTGAATTGTGCCCGGAAACGTACTGGGAGCCAATGCAGATCTCTCAGGACCGGTGTTATGTGGTCTCGGCGGCCGCTCCCAGTCACCAGTCTAGCTGCCGCGTTCTGGATTAGTTGTAGTTTCCAGGTCACCTTCAAAGGTACCCCCACATAAAGCACATTGCAGTAGTCCACGCGGGAGATAACCAGAGCATGCACCACTCTGGTGAGACAGTCTGTGGGCAAGTAGCCCTTGATATCCCTTTCCTCCCTGTTTACCTGTTCCTGTCAATGTTTACCATCTAGCCTGATAAAAGAGTTCTGTATTCCTGCAACATGCTGCTTGGCCTAGTAAACCAACTGCCCTAATGAAAATTCGATTGTAAGCTGCTCAGGGCAGGGGACTGTCTATTTCGCCTGTTCCAAAACGTCCAACAATGCGCATGGAGGGAGGCAGGGGAAAGAGGGGAGGAGAAATAAGCAAAATAGCCAATTGTGATGGTTCCCACATATTTAATTTTCATATTTAAATTGGGGGCGTGAGTTTTCTCCAAAGGCTTTTGGGGGGCAGAGGTTTAAATTTGAAATGTGGTGTGAGTCCTAATACTCATGCCTGCCCCCAAACCCGAAAATACAGTGCAAATAAAGTGATCCCTTTTATTTGACTAAATTTCAATGCAGTCCTCAGCATGGCCATTCTGCAGCCTGTCCCACTGACAGCTGTAGCCCCAAGTCTGCAATCCTGAACATCAAGGGTGGAGAACCTTTGCCCCTCCATATGCTGTCAAACTATAACTCCCATCAACCCAGGCTGGAATGGCCAATGGCCGGGGTGATAGGAAATGTAGTTCAACAACATGACGCGGCAGCTAAAAAAGCCAATGCAATTCTGGGCTGCATCAATAGGAGTATAGCATCTAGATCAAGGGAAGTAATAGTGCCACTGTATTCTGCTCTGGTCAGACCTCACCTGGAGTACTGTGTCCAGTTCTGGGCACCACAGTTCAAGAAGGATACTGACAAACTGGAACGTGTCCAGAGGAGGGCAACCAAAATGGTCAAAGGCCTGGAAATGATGCCTTATGAGGAACGACTAAGGGAGCTGGGCATGTTTAGCCTGGAGAAGAGGAGGTTAAGGGGTGATATGATAGCCATGTTCAAATATATAAAAGGATGTCACATAGAGGAGGGAGAAAGGTTGTTTTCTGCTGCTCCAGAGAAGCGGACACGGAGCAATGGATTCAAACTACAATAAAGAAAATTCCACCTAAACATTAGGAAGAACTTCCTGACAGTAAGAGCTGTTCAACAGTGGAATTTGCTGCCAAGGAGTGTGGTGGAGTCTCCTTCTTTGGAGGTCTTTAAGCAGAGGCTTGACAACCATATGTCAAGAGTGCTCTGATGGTGTTTCCTGCTTGGCAGGGGGTTGGACTCGATGGCCCTTGTGGTCTCTTCCAACTCTATGATTCTATGATTCTATGAACATCTGGAGGGCCAAAGCTTCTGTTCACCTGCAATGTGTACTTTACTGGGAGCAAGCCCTATTGAATCCAGTAAATATGTCAAGGATGGTTCCAAATACAGCCTTTGAGGTGTACAGCATTCTTTGTCAAGTGTACATACAGTATTTGACAGCAGAAAAACAAAAACATAAACTAGATGGAAGGACCTGGCCAGACTGATATGAACCTCAGCAGGGTGTGGGAAAAGAATAAAAAGGCAAATGTAAAGGGACCCCTGACCATTAGGTCCAGTTGCAGACGACTCTGGGGTTGTGGCGCTCATCTCTCTTTACTGGCCGAGGGAGCCAGCGTACAGCTTCCAGGTCATGTGGCCAGCATGACTAAGCTGCTTCTGGCAAACCAGAGCAGCACACGGAAACGCCGTTTACCTTCCCGCTGGAGTGGTACCTATTTATCTACTTGCACTTTGATGTGCTTTCGAACTGCTAGGTTGGCAGGAGCTGGGACTGAGCAATGGGAGCTCACCCCGTCACGGGGATTCGAACCACCGACCTTCTGATCGGCAAGTCCTAGGCTCTGTGGTTTAACCCACAGCACCACCCACATCCCGGGAAAAGAATAAGAGATCTTTAAAGGAACTAATTTGATTTGAAGTGCTAACCTTGCTCTTTGGGTTCCTATTGGACCTGTGTCATCCTTGATACAGGCCACATACATGATTAAGCATCCTTAGGTCTAGGCAGTGATGGGACTGGCCTCGAGGGGGAAGGAAGAATGTGGAATAAGGGGCTGTGCTTTTCGGTCAGTAGAGAAATTGACTTGGATGAAAAGGTTGGAGGAAGCTACCGTATTTTTCGCCCTATAGGACACACTTTTTCCCCTCCAAAAATGAAGGGGAAATCTGGGTGCGTCCTATGGGGCGAATGCAGGCTTTCGCTGAATCTTGGAGAGCGAGAGGGGTCGGGGGGCACCGACCCCTCACGCTCGCCAGGCGTCAGGAAGACATACGCAGCCGAGGCAGCCCTGCGGGAGTTCCCCGCAGGGCTCCCCACGCTGCGGATAGCAGCCTGCAGCCCGGCGCGAAGGGCGCCCTGAAGCAGAGCACCCCTCGCGCCGGGCA